GAACGTGTTTGTCGTTATTTTTAATTGAATGTGACACACCTGACATGATATGTACCAAAACTGAAAGTAGTTTTGGTAAGAATCGAGTAATTGTTCAACAGGTGTGTTTTGTTTGTTTTTTATATTTGGAAAAATGAAAGATGGTAGACTACAGATATTTGTCTGTTACATGTTTGTTGTTCTTGGTTTGGATTCAAGTGCTCACAATGAATCAGAAAGTTGAGTGTCAGCCAGAGACAAGCAAGCAAACAAAAACTGAGAGCTGCACTGGTTCTTGAGGAGTGCCTGAGAGCTCTTCAGGATTTGGCAAGTGACAATAGCTTAATAATTAACATTAATTGCTCAGCTTCCTCAATCAGCAAGTCGTTTCTTTGGTTGTCAGTTCAGAGAACTTCAAGGCACTCTGATGTAAATGAAAGGCCTTTAATTAAAGCACAAGGAATATACTGTATATGTGTTTCAGCTGAGGAATCTGCCAGGCTTTATGATGTTACATGAGCCTTAATGAGAAATAGTCATTTAATTTCATGAAATAAAACAGTTTTAATTAAAATCAAATTGACCCACGACATTATAGGAAGATGACAGAAAAAACTATTCGCCCTGAGAACTATTGCTGTATGTGATAACATTACTAACCCACAAATGTTTACGTATAACTTGTCAGCAGTTGCGGTAAGGTAATGTATTATGGTCAGAGCTGCGTCACGTATCACCTTTGAATGTGGTTTTGCAGATCAGATTAAATGTACCCATAGCTATTTTTTTTTTTTTTAGCAGTGATCAGATTACCTGATTTTAAAGGAAGTTCTTGTTTTAGACTTAAACTTAGAGCTAGGTTTAGCTTTTGGTTAGGTAAGAGTTAAGGTTAGGAATGCAGTGGAGAGGATTAAGGTTAGGTTGAGGAATGAAAGAATGAATTCAGTCAGTGAAAGTCCTCACACATGTTATAAAGTGGCTTTCTTAAGAACTCCAGCCCTGCACTCTAAAACCCATTATTTCTAATGGCCTGTGCTGCACATGGACCGATATCCCCTGTTTGGAGAAAATAGTGGATTCAGTGCTGCATCTATCTCAGTGTCCTTGTGCCCAAAGTGGATCCTACTCCATCCTACCTTTGCTCAAATGATGTTTTGAATATGGCACTGAATTCTGGCACGATAATATTGTTCCGTCTTCAGACTTCTAGATAAGTGGTGAGTGAGGTTAGGCAAACTGTGTCCTATCTCAAAGACACTGTGATACACATGCTATTGCTGTTGTTGTGTGAAAGGCCTTGCAAATGGAACTTTTCTTTAAAACTGTCCTCATAGAAATTGTGGGAAGTCATGTTACCTTGTGGTTTTGGAAAATTCTCAGACGTCTGGTCTGCTATGAATCAATTTCGAAAAATGGCGGATGATGTAAAAAAAAAAAAGAAAAAAAAAATCTGCACTGTCATTGGGGTTAAAGTAAATCTTTTGTCAAAAGTTGACATTTTGGAGAAATGATGTGTGTCTGTGTGTTTATCATGTGTCAGTTGGCATATCCTCATTCTTCCCTCTCAGCACTTTAATGTTGTTTTTTGAGCTATATTAATATCTTACTGTCATTCAACAGCGTCAACGCGCCCGCACCCTGTGATTCATTCGCCATCAGTGAGGTCATGTGGCAGTCATGTGACTCTGGCAAAAACTCAGCACAAAACACAAATGGAGAAAAAGGGGAAGGGGACAAAAATTGCTCCAGTCATAGGGAACTCTAAACCACAGACACACAGACGTACACACACACACACACTCACACACACACACACACACACACACACACACATGCAGACGCACTGACAAAGCCTGGCGCTTGCAGAGAGCTCATTCTGCAAGTGGCCTATAAAATATGAATGATATCGTGCTATATTTTTATCAGCGAGCCTGAGGACATGTATGAACTGGAGCAGCAAAAACGCTCTGTTTCTCTAGCCACAGCACTCATTCTGTATGCCGTGCGTGGAGGAAAGGAAAGCTCCACATGCATGCCTCATCAGGTGCTTGCGGTTTCTATATGCATATACATTTATAGCATGCATCCGTGTGTGTGTGTGTGTGTGTGTGTGTGTGTGTGTGTGTGGCGATCATGAATTCTTTTTCATCATCTGAATGTTTTTGTTGTGTAAAAGCCGGAAGATGAAGAAGGCGCATTCTTAGATGTGTCCTGGGAGTTGCTGTCAGAACTTTGTATGCTGCTCTGAGAGTTAATTCACACAGCTGCCAAACACACACACACACACACACACATACACACACATACACACACACACACACACTTGGAGAGAGAAAAAGGAAGTGTGGGGAGGAAAACTCTACCTGCATAAGCTGAAGGCCTGATAGCAAGGCGAGCAGCTGCACTGCTTGCAGAACGCTGCTGTCTGCACTCTTGAAAGAGGCTTGCAGTCTCTCTCTCCGAATCCCTCTTTCGCACGTACACACGCGTTTAGTTAGACACACACTTTTCATTTTGTGCCCACTCACACTCGTTAGAACATTTGAACACTAGCCCTTGTGTAGGAGTGTGCTTTTGGCACAGTATGTGTGTGTGTGGTTATGAGAGTGTGAGAGAGCGAGACAGCGGGAGGATGTACTTGAGACAAAGTGTTAGAGAATGAGTTTGTTGCCGTTTGTGTGTGCGTGTGTGTGTGTTTGTATGTGAGGGAAAGTGCGTGTGTGTGTGTGTCTGCCGTACACAACAAAGAAAGAGGGGTGAAAAAAATGACAGGAAAAGGAAGGAGAGTGCAAGAAAAGCACAAGGCCCTATCTTCAGAAACAGCTGACAGGTTGACAGGTCTGCTGAGACCCGCAGAAACAAACATATATAGACAGAGCGAGGGGGGACGAAGAGAAGGAGAAGAGAGGGATGAAGAGCAAAAGTGGTGAAAGACAGGGAGGCATAAAGAGACAAAAAAACAGATGTAAAAGATAGTGTTAAAATATAAATATGCAAACATCTTGAGCATGTGCATTGTATTATACTCCAGCATCCAAAATGTAAAGTCATTTCCTTCTCTGTGTACTGTGGCAACACACAGATCTGCATGTTGTGCCAGCGAAGATTATAGCTGAAAGTTCAACTGAAAAAATCAATGAAAGAGAAGTGCAGAAAGAGAGGTAGAGAAAGCAACAAAGAGACTGATAAACAAAAGAAGTGATGAGGTTATAGAGGAGAGAGACGGGGATGGAAATAGGGTGCGTGTGTGGCTCCTCAGAGTGGAAATAAAATGTTGCTTTATTGAGAGGGGAATAGTCTGTGAAAAGTGGATATCGTGTAATATCATCTGTCCTCCAGCTTTGCATGAGTCCCAGTTCAGAACTACACAATAGTGCAGTTTATTTTGGTGAATCAGCAATGAAATAAAGCCTCTAGCTTTGCCCACTGAAGAAGATCTCATTGTTAAACATCTTCTATGGCTCGTCCCGAGATGATAGTGTAGAACCATTTTCAAAAAGGAAAAAGGGGGGAAGAAAAGGATGAAAATGACTGTGGATGTTGGTATATTTTGAACTGATGCAGTAGAATTGGCTGTAAAGTCAAGGTAATCCACATTACAAGCAGTGTATTGTGAGAATTTCAAGCATAAGAGCCACACCACCCTCCAAACCCACACTGCTGTTGTGTTATAAGGTCATTTACAATGTTGGACTGCTGATAATATACATTTACAGACACTGTGGACTTAAGTTCCTTGAGGTGGCGAGGGCCCAAGACTAGCTACTGCCACCTCTGGTAGAAAGAATGAGGTATAAAGTTTATATAAAGTTTATACTGAAGCAAAATGAATGATGGTATGTAACATTTAGAAAACTTTATAATGGCATGGGTGCACAGGGAGAGAAAAGACACAAGAGAAGCTGGTAAAAGCCCTCAGTGTTTCTGGGACTCTGTTGGAATGAGAGGACTGTTAGCAAAAAGTACTTGTCCTGGACTCCGTCAGGAATGAAGGAGAGGAAGAGAGAACGCAGAGATAAAAGAGTGAGAGAGACATAGTTGGACTTGGTCTGGTTGGTGGAGCAGAGAGAGTGTGAAAGAGAGGGAGAGAGAGAGAGAGAGAGAGAAGAGGAAAGAGAGGGTGAATACCAGCTATTGTTGCAGCAACACGCAGCAGAGAGGAAGGGGGAGGTGTGTGTGTGTGTCTGTGTGTCTGTTTGTGTGCGCACAGAGGTCAGTGGGTTTTAAGCTCTGTTCGAGCTGCTCCTTGTCAGAGATGCGTTGAGTTCTGTGTTGGCAACCTAGCGACTGTGGGCTTAAATTATTAGCTGGTCTGGACACAAGCCTAAAACAATCCAGGACTGCATTTCAGACCAGTGTATCAACACCCAGAGAGCTCGGTTGGTAGAGCAAGACACCAGCATGGCCTCGGTTAGAAGCGGTCACTGCTGTAATATGGAAATTAAGACAAAGAGTCTACAGCTAAACTAGCGAGTCTGTGAGGCTGCTAATGCTAATTTCAGAAAGCTAGCTTGCTCATAAGGACGATGTTACATTGCTGATACTTAGCAGGTATAATGTTTATCAACTTATTTTAGTGTGTTAGCATACTTTGCTTAGTTGCACTAAACACAAGGTTAAACTAGACGCAGTATTTAAATTATAATTTTGACTTGATAATGGCACTGGATGAAAAGTCAGTCACCCGTTATAACATTCTTTATATCAACCTCAGAGGAAAAGTCAGGGGATGACCAAAATTATTACAGTTAATCCCGAGGGGAATGTGAATGTCTGCACAAAATTTCATGGCAATCCATCCAATAGTTATTGCAGTCATGACCCAAACTGGACTTTCCGACATTACCTCTGGACAGCCGTGCTGCTAGTGTGGCTAAAAAATGCCACGCTTTGTTATACATTTATTACTGTCTAAATCTGACTGAACACTGGATAACTCTACCAATTTTTTAAACATTACTTTGATGAATACTAGTCATATTAATCTTAATAATCTTGCTATGTTTCCTTTGTCTTTCCAGGATCCTGCTGGCATCTTTGAGCTGGTTGAGCTGGTGGGAAATGGCACCTACGGGCAGGTGTACAAGGTAAGAACATGTACACTTGCATTAACAGACTTTGATACTCCTATCATTCTGATAACACGGTCCCTCATCTTATCAACTCTTGTTTACTCTTTCTGAGTAGCCTATATGGAATAAAAAGTACAAATGTGCAGTATGACTGAAGGAAACAGAGAGGACGGGAAATAAAAGCAGTGCACAAGCTTGAGAGAAATGGAGCGTATGTAAAAGAGACTTAAATGCAGAGAGGAGGAGAAGAATCTGGGGCACATTAAAGTGCTTTTAGGAGAATTTCCTGTACTCTGTTTTCTTCTTTCTCTACTGTATTTACATTTCTACCTATACCTCTGCGGGGGTTAGTTGGTTTCCTGAGATGAGATATTTTAAGGGGAAGTGTCTTTGTCATCTACAGGAAGTGCTTGTGCTTGATCTGGCTTTGTGACATCGCTGTGGTTGGAGGTTTCTGCTGTCAGCTGGATTCAGCTGCTCACCGCTGCCATTTAAACATTATCTCCGCATCCATGTCACTGTCTGAACTTCCTCTTCCCTCCACGATGGCCCGCTGTTTCGGTGGTCCTCACTTCCTTTTCCTGTTTCTGCTCCTTCCTATCCTGCCACTCTGCAGGATGTTGCACCAGCAGTGAGGCACTTTGTGTTTAACAACCTCTTTCTGGAATAAACATATGTTTGTTTCAATAAGTGACAGTATGGACATGTGAAGGCCCTTGTGAGTGCATTTATATTGTGTGTGTGTGTGTGTGTGTGTGTGTGAAAGTGTGTCTAATGGAGCAGAGAGTCAAGGTCAGCTGATAGTGGAGACGGGTACTTCTTACAGCTGATTGGACCAGATTAAAGGTCAGGCAGAGGTTGGACATGCTTCTCCACACTTCTAGAAATAATCTGACATCCACGTGTGTTTGTATGTGCATGCGTGCGTGTGTGCATATGTGTGTGTTAGCGACAGAAGGCAAGAAAAAAAACACAAAAGGAACGGAGAACAGGAGAGTTATGTGTATCCATTTATTGCTGACTCTGCTGTCTTGGTGAAAGTCACGGCTCATTTACTGGCTGACATTCAGCCAGTCTGTTCCTATACATTACTGAGCCACAGAATGCCTATGGCAACAGCACCGGCCTGTTGGCTCAGGAGCCCATTAAGCTCATCCACAGTGGTTTGTGATTGGGTGTTTCACAGCGTATAATTCCCAGCAGAGTCCACACTGAAGTTTATGCTATTGCTGCTGTTGGTTGACAGCTTCAGAAATGACATTCCCACTGTTCTATTTTCTATTATGTGACTATTTGTTCTTAAAATGTCCTTTTAGTGCAAAATGTAATGAACTTTAGGTCACATTCAAAACTCCATAGGTGTAAACTAGAGAATAAAACAATAGAGCTGAGGATTAAATTGCAACTATTTTGATAATTTAGGATAATTAAGAAAGAATGCTAAACATTTCCTAGTACCAGCCTTTCAATTGTGAGAATTTGCTGCTTTGCTTTGTCATATGTGATAGGAAACTAAATATTTTCCCCTTTTGCTCTGTTGTTTGTACAAAACAAACAATTTGAAGATGTAACCTTGAGCTATAGGAAGTTGAGATAAGTATTTTTCACTATTTTCTGACATTTATAGACCAAGAGTTTAATAAAGAAGATAATCACAATATTAATTGATAATGAAAAGAATAGTCTGTTGCGGCCTTAAGATAAAATATGCATTTTTAATTCAAAAATAATGGTATGAATGCATTCTAGTGTGTAGTTTCAAATATTGCCCTTGAGTGCTGTAGAAGTAGGTACAGATGTAAACAGGGAAAGATTGGTCTCATACATACAGATAAGGAGCAGAGTCACTTGAGCAAAAATGCCATCTATTTTAAATTCCTCAGGCGATTGAGCTCCCTCGTCGAGGCAAGCCGCCTGAAGAGGATCAACTTCTCGTGAGCAGGTGAATCTCTGAGTCGCTGAGATGATAAATTGACCTTCAGCCCGGTGGGTATAAGTGAACTGGAATTGCTCCGACTTTCTCCGAACCGTATTTTCGACGCTTGTAAAAGTAACACATAAGAATAGTGTATGTAGTTTTGGACTGTAGTATCCCTCCAGTCTGGATCGAGGAATCCTTGGCAGTGTATTGTGGAGTGAGCACAGGTGGAGTCTGAATGTGTGCTGAGATGTAAAGGTTAGAGTCAGACAGGCTGTTAACATGACTTTACTCCTCATTTTGACTCCAAAAATAAATTCAATTTGCTCGGCGGCCAGGGTTCAGTTTTGCTCTGCAGTTTAAAAAAACACTGAGAATCACCAGACAGCTCCTCTAGAACATACACAACCTACGCAAACTGCCTTTTATTTTGATCCTTGTTGAATGTAATTGCCAGATTTACGCAGATTAATAGCAATATCAACGTTATTTGATAAAAATCTAAATGCAAATTTACTTGTTTTTCATTTCAGTGAAATGAAAAAGTAATAATTTCTGCAGATAGACAAATTTAGGCTACATTTGGGATTATTAAAACTTTTATAACCTTGTCGGATGAAGTGAAAAATGAATCAGCAGCTGACATTTTGCAGATTTAAATTTTTATTGAACAGAAATATGATATGAAAACATCACAAGACAAGGAACAGTAATGGAAAAAAGTTATTTCCACCTCTTCTTACATCAGGTACTTTGGTATCTTCTCCCAAAGCAAAAGCAAAAGCATGACTCTTGTCCCAGTCCACTGCATTCTGATGCAATAGTTTTTACTCAGTGCACTGTGTAATAAAGCTAGAGATATGTAGGTTTATGTGTATGCATGCATCCTTTTGTGTGTGTGTGTGTGTGTGTGTGTGTGTGTGTGTGTGTGTGTGTGTGTGTGTGTGTGTGTGTGTGGTCAGCACAGTGCTTTATGGTATTGGTGATAGAGGGCCAGTAATGTGCCACGTAGCTGCAGCTCTGTGATTCTGGGAGCAAGAGATAACAGGTTTATCAACAATCCCACTACACCATCTAGTTAAATGATACAGATCTGCCCCTCAGTGCTCTCTCCCCTCTCTCTCTCTCTCTCTCTCTCTCCATCTCTCTCTCTCTCTCTCTTTTTCCATCGCATGTGCACCTATCATCTCCTCTCAATTAAAAAAGAAAAGTTGTCCCAGGTTGTTGTTTTTTCGTTGCAGTTTCCCTGTCAGCAAAAAATAGTCCGGCCAAGAACAGTGATAGACGAGTAGCCGCACTGCAAAGATAATTTTAGCTTGACTCCTGCCTCTGTCTCCCTTTCTCATCTTACATCTCTATGGTGGTTCTCTTTCCTTGTTTTTCCTCCTCTGTCTAATCACCCCCCCCCGCCCCCCCCCCCCCCTTGCTTCTTCATCCCTTCCTTCTGCACATTTCTCTTATCAATATGTAATCACGTTTTTCTTCTTCTTTCCTCTGTGTTTTTTGGGTTGAAACTTCCCCGGTGAGCTGTACTTAAGGGAGCAGCCTGTGCCTACAGTATGTGTATATATAGCTTCTACTGGCTGCTCTAAAAGGGCCATAAATAGAGAACACGGGTAATGCTGAATAATTAAACACATTCTCTCTCCACTCCCCCCCCCCTCCATCTTCTACACTCTCTCTCTGTTTCCTCCTTTAGCTCTCTCTCTTCCCCTCTCTCTCTCTCCAACTGTTGTCATTCTCATCATCTGCCTCTCCATCGCTCCGTCATTGGTATTTCCTCCTTTTATTTTGCCGCGTCTCTTTCCTGCACTTTCATCTCTCCAGCCATGCCCACTCCCTTTTTATATATATATATATATATTTTATCATGCTTCTGTTTCTCTGCTGTCTCCCCCTTCTCTCTTTCTTTCTGATGCCTGTGAATATTTGATGGGGGTTATGGGAATTGCAGTTCTCCAAATTGAGGAAGCACTCATTGCTTCATATGGTACCACGGTGGGGGGCGGGAACGGGGAGCATCGGTGACCGGCTATTGGCCGGATCATTCACTGACTGACTGACTGACTGACTGACTGACTGACTTGAGATGACGATTTATTGACTAACACACATATTGATAATTGATTAATCACATCTCTTCGTCATTTGTGCAGGAGAAGTCATTTTTCTCCTTGATGGATGCAAGGACAAGTTGAGAGGGCAACCAATCATATCTCGGTCCCCCAAAAACACAAAAACAGCACCGACACACACGTTTAACACACACATGCACAAACAAGTGAACGATGACACAGTCAGCCCATTGTCTCATCGACTGTCTCCTCGGCTTTGGCAGCAATAAAACATTTCCTGTGTTTGTGTGGGTTTCTGTACGTGATTCATGAATGTGCGTGTGTGTGCATGTGCATGTGCTGTTTTCACATACCTTCTCTCCATGACTCTGCTGTCTCCATGCAGCGAAGGAGCAGGAGAACGAGGAGGCGACCAATCTTTTTCTCTCTGATGACAGAACACATCCACTCTGCTCCTCCTGAGGCAAAGTGCTCCATACACTCTTTAAATATTCACCAGTCACTCTGACACACACACGCGCACGCACACATGTGCACACACAGTACAGCAAAAGTGACGGTTGGGGACCTGGGCCGCATGGGCTTTTATATGATCACCCACTGTGACAGCAAGTCTGTACAAAGAGCAGCTGCGTGGTTTCCATTTACTGCACTGGTGTGTGTCTGTGTATAAACTTGTGTGTGTGAACAAGGGTTTGAAGTGAGCATGTATGTGGACTGTGTTTGCTTCATGTTGTCAGCAGTCAAGGGGTGTATGTATGTGTGTGTGCGTGCGTGTGTGTGTGTGTGTGTGGGAAAGTCTTTTTATCATGATTTTCTGTTATCTTTAAAACTGATGAACAGTTACGACCACACACACCACAAGGCGTGTGCAGTTATGACTACAAGTCTTCGCCAATAATCTTGTTACCGTGGCAATCTGGGGTTTGAGAATGTAAACAGATGGATGGGATGTAGATTAGGATTGCAAAGAAAATGCTTCATCTCATTATCCAATCACACCTGTATCTTCCCTCTCTCTC